GGCACTTACTATTCAATTTTGTGTTACGAGGGGCATGCCGTCTGTACCTTTACAGTCGGCTACTCTCCATTGAGTTTCACTCTTTATCTTTACAGGGGCATGCCGTCTGTTCCATTACAGTCGGCTACTCTCCCTCGAGTATTTTACTCACAATACTTAGCTAAAAAGTTTAGGGCCTGGCCGATCCTGTAACTAACAGGCGGCTACCCTTCTTTTACTTAGCACATACGTTCACCAAAAACATACCAAGGCCACTGGCCGAATGATCAGACCAGGCGCCTAGTCAACTGATCTAACTTTTAAAAAACTAATCCGACCTGTCCCAACATTATAGCAGGCGTCCGGCGGCATCCATTCGGATGAAATTCGTCGCAGAGAGCAGCTCCCTTTTGGGTGGAACATTGTTCTATAAACTAATTACACGGCACCTATACGACTGTCCCAAAGGGCAACCACGTAGCCGTTTTTGAGACAAGGATAACTCTATCACTAACCAAACCAGTGGTAGCAGTTGACATCTGAGTCAGATGACCGCCTGTATTACTTGGGATAAATGCAGGGGGTACCTATTGAGTTAATAGCCAACAAACATTGGCGAATCAAGGGGTCTAGCCGGCCTACGCCGCCTGGTACCTCTACTTCTCAAACAAAAGTGACGGCGACTGAGTAACTCCAAAGTTAACTCATAGTCACTCCTTCAAATTTGGTATGGAACCTAAAAAGTTTGAGTCGTCCGCCTGTTTTATACAAACAAGGGCACTCGAACCCCTATTCCTACTGGATAACCTATTGAGTAAATAGCCAACAAACATTGGTGAATCAAGGGGTCTAGCCGGCCTACGCCGCCTGATACCTTTACTACTCAATCAAGATTGTGACGAAGACTAAGTAACTCCTATGTTAACTTAATAGTCACTCAAACTTAGTACTGAGCCTAAAAGGTACGAGTCGTCCACTTGTTTTTAATAAACAAAGGCTCTCAACCAATACTCTTGCTAGGTTAACAAATAACAAATTAGAGGCCAACATTGGCAATAAAGGGAAACAACCGGTACCCGCCGCTTGTTTTCCTACTTAAATTCCTTGGCTACTTGGTAATTCTATTTACTTGGTCAAATTGAATAAAGAGTTCGAATACCGATTGATTAAATGGCCGACTGATCATCTATCCTGGAAACAGACAACCAGTCGTCCAGGGGCATAGGCGGCATACTTACTATTTGTACCTGTCTTAACGTTCGGCCATACACAACAGTCTGTCTAGTGAGCAAATTTCAAATACTTAGACAAATTTGAACAAAAACAAAAAATTTGATTAAAATGAGCCGGCCATAAAAGACCAGCAGAATATTCAAAACCCCGGCCCCCTGGCCGGGTAATTACAAAGCAAACGGCACGCAGGCCGTGAAAAGAAAAAATATACTTAAAGCTTAAGAAGGGGGCAGTTCAGTATCAGCAGCAGCCGCCTGGTCAGCACTCTTCTTGCTGGACTCGGCCTTCGCTGCATCATCTTTTGATGCCTTTCCCCCAAGTGGCACAAGCGCCACAACAGGCTCTTCCTCCTCCAACGCAACGTCCATCGCCTCTTCTTCAGCAGCCGCCAGGATCTGTTGATTATATATTTCCGAACACTGGCGGTACGTTCTTTCCCATGAGGCAAAGTCGGCACTGGGGAACAGTCGTTCCCAGGTCATGCGTTGGATTTGGGCGGAGTCTTCCACCATCTCCCGGACGAGCTCTTGTTTTTCTTGCTCGGCCTTGTCCGAGAGCTCTTGGGTAAGACTCTTCTCCTGGTTCACCAGGCGTTCTTTTACGTTAGCCAAAGATTTCTCCATGGCTTCGTAAGAGTGCATTTTCTGGCGAAGGGGTTTCAGCTCGGCTTTAAATTTGGTGACGGTCCCCTCCAGCTCGTCAACCTTCTTTTGGGCCGCCTCTAGCTGAGCCCGAACAGCGGCGGTCGCCTGCGCCTGATAATAAAGAAGATCAATGGTCAGTACTTCATTTTGGGCAATTTGAAACATTGCTTTATCACAGCTGGAGGCGGCCATAGCCTTTGCGGCCTTTACCTCTTTGTTTTTTCCGATCAATCGGCTTGCGAAGGCTGTTGACTCGGAGCAGGGCCTAAGTACAAAGAAAAACAGGCGTCAGTTTCCAATCATAAGGGTTAACAGGCGTCCTGGAACTTCAAAAGGGTATACCTCAGCTAGGATCCCCGAAATTCCATCGAGGTCAAGGGTGCCGGCACCCTTGACCGCCTCCCTGTCAGAGGGAGGAACTACTTTAACCATTGACTTGGCTACCTCAACCAAGTCAAGTCCCTGGGGGCCGGCTGCATTAAGCAGAAGGAAAAACAAGTTAGACCTAATCAAGAAGGAAGCAAGAGTGAGTTTTTACAAGCAAGTGTCCATACATCTAGGCGGCCCCGCCTGGGTTTTTTGAAGAAGTGGCCGGCTGCTTCTCAGCCGCCACTGTTTTCCTGGAAGACCCAGGAGAGCTTGCAACAGTCGTTCTCCGGGCCTTGGGGTCCGGCTGTTGCGAGGAAGAAGCCCTTGGAGTGCCAGACTGAAAACAAAAAGAGTTAGTATATGCATAATACAACTTAAAGGGGAAGAGTTTTCAAAGCTTACCAAGGGTGCCTCCTTGCTGGGGGAGTCGGCGTACGACTGCTTCATTAGCGAAACCCGCAGCATGGCCGCCGCAGTCTTAGATGCTGTTATTTTACTCATGGCGTCGGCTGAAAGAAATAAACAGCAAAGTTAGTAAAAATCCCAAGTAAACAAGGCGTGAAAAAAACAGAGTATTCGTCAGGCCGGCTACCTCTAGAGCACCGACTGCCGAGGCCACAGGCGGCCAAGAAGTACTCATCATAGAGCCACTTGAAGCTCGGGACGCAGTGTAGGGGTACTTGCTCTCGTACCCCTGAAGTAGAGTTCACCCTAGTCTCTACTTTGAAGAGTCCTTTGTCTAGGATCTCTCTTTTAGCCTTTGGGGGAACAGGCGGCATGCTGCGGCCGCCTGCAAGAAGAGGCGGATCCCTGTTCCACTTGTTAAAACGTTTGTTCAGCTCCGTGTCTGAACTCTCGATAATAAGGAAGGTGTTCCGCCAATCCTTCCATTTGTTTGCCTTACCTCTCGTCATGAGGTAACCCCTGTGGCTTGTTAGTTGATACCAGCCGGTACCTCCCGACTTAGGGGTCCGGCTGAGATAGTTCATGTGGGCGAAAGCCTCAAAACTTGGCTCCACCCCGTTCAGTTCGCACCCGGCCACATAGCCGAGTACGTTTACCCAAGAGTTGGGGGCTAACTGCCATAACCCCAGATCATACCCATCTAAAATCCGCTGAACAGCCGGATGTAATGGGAAGCGCAGACCAGCTTTGATGGCCGCCACATAGCAGCCAAAACAGCCGTCACCATAGCTGGTACCAGCCGGCCAGACGACAGTATCTTCTGGATCCGGCACAAACAGTAAATACTCCGGGCTCATTTTGTGGTTAGCAATAAAGCTCGCCACGTTGTCTCGCATGGTTGCGATCCGGCCCCGGGGCACCCTGCAGTAGTAGGGGGTGTTTTCCTCTCTGTAAGAGGCGGACGGCTCTGCCCAATTATCCCCCTTCTCCACTGCATGGGAACTTCTCGCCTCTTGTAGGCGGTTATGTTTTTCTTCTGAGTCAGAAGAACTATGGTCAGAAGAACTATGGTCAGAAGAGCTGGAATCGGACTCGTCCCCTGACGAGTCCGAAGAGGACGACTCCTCCCCTCTCCTAGAGGGGCCCGCCTCCTCTCCCTTAGAAGGAGCAGAAGGTAAATTAGACATGTCCACGGTTAGATGAGAAGGGAACACCTTGGTCCCTCTCTCAGAACTGTCAGCTTGACAGTCGCCTCGTTCCACATCTGGCGCCTGGTCAGATGTTTCGCTAAGGAGTACCCTTTGGGAGGAGCCGTCTGAGTTTGATATTCTAGCAGTCTTTTTTGTTCTGGCCATCACGTTCTGCATAGACACAGATTCAGTCGGACTTTGTATAAAGGGCAAAGATGGGTCCAGAAAAGGGCAGGCGGCACTCCTAGTCCTAGATTCAGCCGTCCCCGGTGACCGGCTGATCACTAACTTAGGGCGTGTCGTGTGCTTCCATGGTGCCATTTCAAAAAATAAAAAGAAAATTAAGAGTAAGAGAACTGAGTTACCTGAACGGATGACAGTTGATGAAGTCCTGAAAGTTCGGGTCAGTCGGCTTGTCAGAACAGGCGGTAGGCAGAAAAAGTCCGAAAATGTCAGAGCAAGTTCAGGGGTCCGAATGTTCTCGCAAAAATTCTCAAATGTGAAAATGACCGAAGTCAGCACTTCCTTTTATAGGCAAAATGAGAAGGCGAAGGGTCGCTTCCGAATTCAAATTTGGGCGGGAGAATCTCCCGGCCGTCTGCAAGGTGACACCTGTAACGGGCCGTCGCCTGTCACCGTGCGACACCTGTCACAGGCGACACGTGACCAGTCGCGTGCCACCTGTGAGGGGCAAATGATTAGGGGATTTTTATCCACCAAGCGCCGTTTGACAAGTGGACCAACCAGGTTCCGCCACGTGTCCACCCATGCCAAATGGGACAACCGGCCATCAAGGCCCATTTCAGTCTAGAAGCCCGATCGGCCCTAGGTTTACCTTAAACCTAGAGAGTTGCACGCTTCCCAAGGCTATAAATACTCGATTAATCCTCATTAATCAAGGGACGGAATAATGAACGGAACGGAGGAGAAACATTACGGAACACACTAATAACCGGCAGATCTCGCTAGCAAAGCAGATTACCTACATTAAATACTCTCACCTAGAGAGACCTTATTACTTTAATTTCTGTATTAATTACTCCTTAATCAGGTACTAACTTGACCGTTGGAGGCGGAGCTCTCAGGAGTCTCCGTTATTTTGCAGGTACAGGCGTCCGGTTCCAGTCTCGGAATTGTAGCTCTCCCGCAGGACATCAGAAAACCCCAAAACACATACAATATGGGATATTATCTCACTGATGGTATATATCCTAAATGGGCGGCATTCATTCCTACAATATCACTACCACAAAATGAAAAAGAAGGTCTATTTGCCAAAGTACAAGAAGCTAAACGAAAGGACGTTGAGCGTGCTTTTGGAGTATTACAAGCTCGTTTTGCAATAATACGGAATCCAGCGCTAGCTCGTGACGCATCAATGTTAGGAAAAATAATGATAGCGTGTATTATTATGCACAATATGATTGTTGAGGATGAAAGAGATACATATAAAACGTATTACGATCCAAATGAATATGATCAAGCTACAAATGCGTCTTCAAGTAATGAAAATAATGAAGAGCCTTTTCAGTTCCAAAATAGCAACAACCGAATTGCAAGTTTGGAAACTTACATGTCTAATAGAGCACGTGTTCGTGATGAAGCTATGCATAAAGCATTGAAGAAAGACTTAGTTGAACATATGTGGCTCAAATTCGGTGTTCAAAGTAGGGACAATAATATGCATTAATAGATGTGTAATCGCAATATTATATCATTGTGTTTGTACTTGTTCGCGGTTCGTTATTATCTTTCAAAGACTTTTGTCATTTGATAGAATATATATGTATGATTTTTATTATTGTGGAATGTAGTAGGGTTACAATTATTGTTTGTGTCTTAATTAACGACTAATTACATACTAATTAATATCAAAATTGCATTATTTTTAAATTTTTGAGATTTTATCTAATTAATGTATGCTAATAAATAATTATTAATTTTGAATGATTATTACCAAATGCATTATTTAATAATAATAGAATTTAAGTAATAAATTGTGTGGTGGGGTTGGGTAAAAGTAGGAGAGAGAAAATGTATAACCAAAATATTATGGTTAACTATTGGCATACATTGGTTATTAAATGGTTATAAGAGTGGTTATAAGTGAGGTGGAAGATGGATAAAATAATAAAATAATCAATAACCAAGATGGGGTTGGGCAACCATTGTGTATGCTCTTAGTACGTACAAACTGAAACTTCCTGTGAGAAACTACAAAAATCAGAAAATGCAGGCAAACGGGCCATAGTGGAATTCAAATGAATGGTACATATGGTTTCAAATGCATAATTGATGTCAACCCTATTCCTTGCTAATTTTCTAGGGTTGGGAAAATTCATTAGCTGCAATCTGAATACAAATAAAATTCAAGCAACTTTAATTACGTCAAACTAGTATTATTTTTTTTTTGTTTTTTATTTTTTGTTGTTGTTGTTGTGAAAGCCAGGGAATTATTATAATAGAAACTTTTATATACATTCGGTTTACATTAATAGTAGTGTACATCGAGCTGTATAAGGATAACTTTTAGCTAATTTTAGGGTAACTTTTTTGCATTTTTTGGGTAACTTTGAACATTATACAATTTTTATATAAATAGACAACAAGAAAAGTTTTATAAAGGTAATTTAGTTACATTCAATCACTAATAATTGATTTTTAGTCATTTAAAATGTGATTCTTTATTAATAAAGCGTAGATAATTTTTATTTGAATTAGGTTACTTTTACACATATTGGGGTAATTTCTATTCATTTTAGGGGTAACTTTTAATCATTTTAGGTTATCTTTATAATGGATGATAACGAGTGTTCTAGATATCTTAAGTTGTCGTAAAATTTTGTGTCTGAAAAAAAAAAAGTTGTAAAACTTCTTATGAGTCGGCTTATGAGTATTAGATCTACAAACACACGAGTGCTTTATATTACAAAGCATATTTGTACTCCGTATACACTAACTATTTTAAAGAGTAAGTAAAAGTTAATTAAGGGTACTTTAGGTGTTAAGGTGCGTGCACCAATACCTAACTGTGAAAGTAAGGGCCTCTTCTCATACGTTAAAATTCAGTTCAATTCATTTAAGTTCAGCTTCTAATATCCTTCTCTTATAAAATATTCATTTCAATTCAGTTCAGCTCAACTCAGCTCAGTTCAATTCAGTCAATGAGAACATACCCTAAGTGTTAGCTATGCAATGATTTAACTGTTAACTGTCAATAAGTTATTAAATGTGAAATTAGATAATAAAGGTATGAATGTTTGATAAATTAGCTTTTGACTTGGTATTACATATAAATTAATATTTATTTTCCTGAAGCAATAGATTAAATTTTCAACAGCTACATCTAATCTTCAAAAGCTAGCTAGCTTTTGATATAAGCGCACAAAGTACATCCACCACTAAGCACTCCAACCAATACATTACGAAACACTCATAATTTTTTTTTATCAAGTAGTAATTTGACTTGGTTAAACCGCTTAAAGATACACAAAAGCTACTACCGAACACATAATTTTTTACTAGATAAAAAAATTACTTCCTATTTTATACATTCAAACAAAATAATATAAGTTCAAATGAATTACGACAATGTAAGACCCTGTTCTATTCACCTTTAAAAAAATAATATTAAGTAAAAATAATTTCAGTTCAGTAAAAATAAGTTCAGTTTAGTAAAATTAATTTCAATTCAGTAAAAATAATTTCAGTTTAGTAAAAATAAGTCCAGTTCAGTAAAATCCAGTTTTCTTAAAGAAGAATTATAATAGAAAATCAGTAAAAATAATTTCAATTCAGCAAAAATAATTTCAGTCCAGTAAAATTAATTTAAGTTCAGTAAAAATAATTTAAGTTCAGCAAAAATAATTTCAGTTCAGTAAAAATAATTTCAGTTCAGCAAAATTAAGGTGAAGAGAACAGGGCCTAAGTACTCCCTCCGTCCCGTATTATATAGTTCCCGTTTTCCTACTACATTCAAAATTTTGTTTCTGCTTCTATTTTTGGCTAGTAAGTAAAGACCATTATATCCTTATTTTTTCTAACTTTATTCATTGTATTTCCTAAATTACCCTTAAATTTTTCACTTGCTTTGTACTTTTTCCACTTTCTCTTTCTAACTTTTGTCTATAATTGTAGTTTTTACCTTTTTAGGGCCTGTTCTCTTCCGTTGAAATTCAGTTCAGTTCAGTTCAGTTCAGCTCTTAATTTATGTCTAATGATATTGCTAATGATATAAAGCCAAATTTCATTCTTTTAAGCTCTTATTACAACAACAACAACAACAACAACAACAACAACAACAAACAACAACAACAACAACAACAACAACAACAACAACAACAATAATAATAATAATCAATAAGTAATAAATAATAATAATAATAATAATAATAATCAATAAATAATAATAAAAATAACAATAATAATAATAATAATAATAATCAATAAATAATAATAATAATAATAATCAATAAATAATAATAAAAATAACAATAATAATAATAATCAATAAATAATAATAATAATAATAATCAATAAATAATAATAATAATAATAATAATAATCATCAATAATAATAATAATAATAATAATAATAATAATAATAATAATAATAATACAATTCATTGTTCAAATGGTTATATATATATTTTTTAAATTTGTTTAAATGGGTTAGATACATGTAACTATGTAAGTGTTTTGTGTTCTTTTGTCATAATACTATTTTATTTTAAAATTCAGTTCAGTTCAGCTGAGTTCAGTTAATCAGAACAGGCCCTTAATGTACTTTATTCACTTTTTACTCTTTTTTCTTAAATACCGTGAAAAAACACAAACATGAACTATATTATGGGATGGAGAGAGTAATATAAAAGCAATTTCAAATAAGTTTAAATACAAAATAATATACAGAGTAAATTAGAAGAACAAAACAGAGCCTTAATTTAGATAAATGTTTATTGTAGACATCATATATAAATAATTTCGAAAATAGAAAGGCAAGTAAGGGTTTACAAAGATGAATTAGGACGGAAATATGGGAAAAGGGAAATCTTGGATGTCATTATCACCCCAAATGTGCACGTCTTATAAGCCATGCATAGATGTCTGCCTAATCTGAGTATTGGCCATTTAGCTGGCTGAATCTGGACACGCCTCTTGTCTTCATTTCAATTTTAATTTTTTCATTCCACCAAAATGATTGACTTTGGATTTATGAAATCGTATAATATCAAATCAGGCTCACATGATATTGGAACATGTTAATTATCATTTGTACTATTTCTTCACAAAATAATCTATAGAAATTTTGTAAAAAATTAAATCAATCAATATAATTACAAGTTTTTCTTAAAAAAGTAGTATTTCAAGTAATCTTATATTATTCTCATGGACTGGATGTTGTGTACCATTACTACCATAGATGAAGTAAGAAAATAAGTACTTTGGAATCGAATTGATTATCATTCCTCATATCTTTTGAAAAAATTCAATCACATAATACGTAACAAGTATTGTATAAAATTGTATAGGAAATTGCACTGTTTTAGGGGTAGGATGTTTTCCTTGTAGTCCTTAATCTATATCCTTCTTCCATTCTATTAATATTGCAACAAGGATGAAATTACGCATCCCAAAGCACATTTTATATGCTAAATATTTATAATTGTATAAGAGTAAAAATTATAAAAAAATTGATATTGTGAAAGTATTTTATGAGACGAATCCAATAAGATCCCACATGTCTATATTTTGCTTATCGTATAAATCATATTATATTTTTTTTTGGTGAAATAAATCATATTATATGGCCAAACAAGAGTGATGAGTAGTGCAAAAGTCCGTTATTGCAATATTAATAGAACGGAGGAAGTATATATTAAAACTCAATGGGAAGACATGAGACCGCCACGTATCATCATGACTAGACAGATGATGTGGCGCCATATCATTTTGAGTAATTTTTATAACCTCTAATTTAAGAGAATGTTTAAGGTGATTAATTACCGCCATTATTCTCTTGTTAAGTAAATCTCATAACCCCTGATTTAAGAGGATGTCTAAGGTGATTGTTCATCTCCATTGATGTTTGGAATTCTTCTGCTATGTTATTTCATGTTTCTCTATAAATAGAAGAAGCCTTTGTTATTTTTTTTTTCCTGATTTTCACACTTGAAAAATACATCAAGCACAATAATCTAAAATTCTAAACACATTCTCTATTGGATATAAGCTTGTTGAGCCCAGGAACAACCCACATATGAGCAATCTCTTGTCCCACACCAAAACACTAAAGGGGGATTGTAGTGGTAATGGAATCCTATATGAAAGAATTCAAGAGTTATCACCATAATATAAGGCTAAGGGGCTACTCCCCTCGTCGCCATATAGTTTTTGGATGGAACCTCCTTTGATCTTGTGAAGTGAACTCTCTCTCTTGGTTTGCAGGTGCGGCCCAGACCCGTATTTGACATGGTATCAGAGTCAGGCACCCGCTTTAATGGCTAAAGTATACTGGGCCAAATATTATGGACAACTCACATGTGAGGGGGAGTGTTGAGCCTAGGAACAACCAACATGTGAGCATTCTCTTGTCCCACACTCAAATTCTAAAGGGGGAGTGTAGTGGTAATGGAATCCCACATTGAAAGAATTCAAGAGTTATCACCACAATATAAGGTTAAGGGGCTA